TTTTTTATATCTTAAAATATATTTTTACAAAAATATTTTCAAAATTACTTATTAAAATATTTTTAAATAATTTTTTTTCAAAGTTATTTTATATGAACATCTAATCTGTTATATTTGATATAAAATTCTACAAAATTTTATTAAGCTAATATGTATTATGCTATTAGAGAATCTTGTTTATAATATTCTAAAGAATATATCTACAAATTTTTATGAATTTTAGATATTTCACTGTTAAAATATAGGCAAAGATGTTTATCATTATAATTTTATCTGAAACTGTATTAATTAATAAAAAATTAATTAACTTTATATGAAATTAAAATAAGTTATTAATAAAAAATCTGAAAAAAATATATATCAAATTAAAGAACTTTAGTTATTTTTTAAGTTAAAAATAAAAAATATTTTTTTATAAAATTAATATATTTTTACTAATTATAATTAGTAAAAATTATAATATTGTATTATTTTTAATTATTATTATAAAATAAAATTAAAAAATTTATAATTTATTAAAAAAATATAATTTATTTTGTAAATAATATTTTATTATAAAATTTTTTTTTAAAATTTTTCAAAATTTTATAAGTAAATAAAATTTTTTATTATTAATAAAATATATAAAAAACTATTATATAATATCTTATATTTAAAAAAATTAATAAAAATAGATTAGATATAAATTTTAATATTTTTATATATAAATTTAAAATATTAAAACTTATAATTAAAAAATAATAAGAATTTTTTAAATATAATTATAAAATAAAATAAATAAATAAATAAAAATACTTTATAATTTAAATATTTAATATATTTATAATATATAAAATAAAATAAATTTTTTATTTATTTAAAAATTTTTTAAATCATTTAAACTTTAAAATTTTAATTATAAAAAATTATTTAATTTTAATTATAATAAAATCAGATTATATAAATAAAAATTTTCTAATATTTATTAATAAGTTTTATAATAATAATAATAAAAAATTTAGTAAAAATAAAAAAAGTTTAATAATATTTTTAAATTTATAAATTAATATGAAAAATTTAATATAATATCTATTATTTAAATTTTAATTAATATTTATAATTTCTTTATATTAAATAAACATAATTAAAATTAATTTTTTATATAATTTTAACTATTTCATTATATTTTAATTCAATAATAAATAAAATATTACTTTACTAAAAAAAAAACTAAAAGAAAATAATTTTTTTAAAAAAAATATTTTAAATATTATTACTATTAATTTATAATATTAAAACTTTAAATTATATAAGCAAATTATCCTGAAATTGATAAATATATTCTAAATTTCATAAAAATTAAATTAAAATATTAAGTTATTATTAGTAAAATTTTTTCATATAAGATATATAATAAAAATTTAAATAAATTTCAATATCTAATAACTTAATTAAATAAGATAAAATTAAAATTTTATTCTAAAAAATAATCTACTAATATCTATCTGAAATATAAATCTTTTTATATCAATCTATATTAAAAATATATTTTTATATTTAAAAAAAATTTATTAAGAAATAAATATTATTAAAATAATTAATTAAATATATAATTAATTTTTTATTTTATTTATTAGTAATTTAACAAATTTTAAAATATATAGTTTCTAATAAAAGTAATAATATATAAACTTGTCACCTATATTTTAATAATAAAATATTTAAATTTTATAAAAATTTATAGATATATTTTTTATAATATTATAAACAAGATTTTTTAATAATATAAGATATATTAACTTAATAAAATTTTGTAAAAGTTTATATTAAATATGATAAATTAGATATTTATATAAAATAACTTTGAAAAAAAAATATTTTTAATAAGTTATTTTGAAAATATTTTATAAAAATATATTTTAAGATATAAAAATATATTTATAAGTTTAAAAAAATTTTTTTATTATATATTTATTTAATAAATACTAGTTTAAAAAGACTTTATTTTAATAATTTTCATAAGAAATAATATAATAAAAATGGATTTTTATTATAAAAATTTATCAAAATAAACCTTTTTTAAATTGATATTTATTAAATAAATATGCAATAAAAAATTTTTTTAAACTTATAAATATATTCTTTATTTTTTAAAATATTTTTAAATAATTTCTTTTTCAAAGTTATTTCATGTAGATACTAATTTATTATATTTGATATGAAATTCTATATCTTATACTATTCAAAAATCTATTTGTAATAATATAAAGAATATATTTACAAATTTTTATAAGTTTTAGATACTTTATTATTAGAATATAAATAAAAAAGTTATGTATTACTACTTTTATCAGAAACTATATATATATAATTTTAAATTTTAATTATTTATAATCAAGTTAAAAAATTTTATATATACAAATATAATAAATAAAAAAATATTTTATATAAAAAATATTTTATAGAATTATATATAATATATAAAAATTATTATAAATATAAAATTAGTTAATATTATTTATAGATTAAATTTGAATTTATTTTTTAACTAAAAGTTTATTAATCAAACTTATTAAATAAAAATAAAATTATATTATAATAAATTCAAATTATTATTCTAATTTAAATCAAATTTATATTTATAATTATTTACAATTATAATATAAAATAATTATAATTAAATTTAATTTTAAAATTTTTAAAACAATTAATTTTTGTATATAATTTTATAATATAATTCTTATATTTAATAAATTCATAATATAATATTTTTATATATGTAAAATATCAAATATTATAAAAAGATATTATAATAATGAAAAAAGATATAATAAAATATAATAATATAACTTAATTTCAAGTTTTATATAATAATTAATTAAAATTCATTATTTCTAACTAATATTAAATCTTTTAAATGAATTTCAATATAAAAAGTATCAAATAAAATGTATCAAATAAAATGTAAATGAATTATTTTAAAGTATTAATAATACTTATTAATATTAAATTTGTTTTAACAATCAAATACAAGAACAATATTAAAAATATTGATTATAAGAAATTATTTTTGAATTCAATAAAAACATATTTGTTTAAATAAAAAAGTTCTAATTCATCTATATATGTATGTATAATTAATACAATACTAAGAAAAAATATGAATAAAAAGAATCAGTTTTTGATGATTCTAATACTTTTCAGTATGAATCAATCATTACTTGACAATCTTGCATATTCAATTTGGAACAGAATTAATCAAGTATAATATATATGTGTATTCAGAATGATTTTTGAATAAGTTCATAATTATCTATAAAGAAAATTCTTATATCTTACTAAGCTCATAATTTTTAGGAATTTAATATTTTTATATATGTAAAATATCAAATATTTTTTTTGCAATTAAAAGATTTAATATCTATTATAATAATGAAAAAGATATAATAAATCAATCAATATAATAATTAAATTTTTATATGTTGAAATATCATAATTATGAAATTCTTAATTTTAATGTCAAAACTTTTTTAAATGCAAAAAAGTATGACATAAAGTGTATATGAATTATTTTAAAGTGTTAATACTTATTATAATATTAAAATCAAATACAAATATGAAGGAATAAGTTTAATAATATTTCGAGAAGAATATTGAAAATAATTTGTTATAAAAAACTATTTTTGATACAATAAAAAGGTATCTGTTTTAAAATGAAAAAGTTCTATTCATATACATATGGCCATGTATAATTAATACAAGACTAAGAAAAAAGCATGAATAGAAGTTTTTGATGATTCTAATACGATCTTGCATATTCAATTTGGAACGGGATTGCTCAAGTATAATATATATGTGTATTCGGAATGATTTTTGGGATCCGTTCACAATTAAATTCATTCTTTAGCGTGTTTAATCGTCGATTTTGCAATTAGTTTTTAGAACTACTAGATGTCTATAGAGAAAGTCTAAGTTGCCTTTACACTTTCAAGAATACAAAGAAAATACATGTACATGTAATACGTATACCTATAAAACCCATTTATGCACACCGCCACGAGGATACGCATTTCTAAGCACATTTCTTTGTATAAGTCATACAAATTCGACCTAACTGTACAGCCACCTAATGCGTGGTACCATTTACATGTATTTAATAATAACGATATATGATAAATAAAGCAAACAAGTATACACTAGCATCTGACATACACATGAATTAATCCACCTAACAATAAACTATGAAGTATATATTAAATTTACAGAGTATAGAAAGGGAAAAGGTGAGAGAGATCAATTGTATAATATATCGACGAACTAAATAATGTTTGTTCGTTTTTATAGGATTGTTAAATCAAAAATAAAAAAAAATCGGGTCGCGTTTTTTTTTGATTGTGTACTTCATCCAGTATCGTTCGCTCTATTGCTAGAATTTTCCAAAGCTCAAAAACAGTAAGATGAATTCAATAACCAAACATCCTTTTTTTAGCTCCTGAAATCGAAATTTTTATCCGCAAATCCACCATTAATAGCGACATAGATAAGAATCATTATCAGAGCCAATCCATAACTTAGCGTATAATACTGCGGGACCAAACGACGTCCCTTACTAAACAACTGTCCAGTTTTTAGCATGAATACTAATAACAGGAGTCCGAGCGTCGACACGTAGGCCAAACCGACAATTGTGCCTTTAGGGAACTCGATTGCTACGCCAGTCAATAGGATCGCATAGAAAAATGCGCCGAGGAAGAATGCAATGAAGTTTAGGACGTTACTGATTTCATCATGTCTTTGACGTCTGAAAGCGAGTAATTGTGACCAGGTTATAATTGCTGCGCCTACTGCATATATATAATGCCCAGTCTAGTTTTTCGGTCAGAGAAAGCATTAATCATTAAAGATGGGGTTCATTCGATGTGTATGCGCATATATGGGTATGTAAACGTACCACATGCTCTAGGTCTGTTTGCATGTAATCCATAGTGGAATTAACGGCAGGAAATTCAGACGTAATATTTGGATATTCAGTAATAAGGTCTTCTAATTTGTGTTTGGCCATAATTGCTGTGTTATGCATTCCAGCACCTATTATCCAAATATTGTGTTTAATTACAATTTATGAATCACGACGAGGACACATTATATTAACGTTAAATTAACGTTAATGTTAAAATATAATATACCTTGCGCGTAAAATGCAGCTCCAATTGTAAACAGGAAACTACAGAATCCTTTTTCTGTTATCGTAAACACTTATGGAAAACGAAGCAGCATAATTAGTAACGGTAACTTCGCAGCAAATCCAAGAAGGTTTATCAATGATATTTACAGAATTTTCGTTCATGTTCTGAATAGTCAACAAATACTTCAGCCGACGCCAATATAAAGAAATTTAATGGTAGTCCAATTAATGGTTCAATAAAACCTAAATTTATACATCAATCTTAGTTAATAAATAATACGTTTAAATAATATTAAAGTTCACACGAAAACTTACGATAGATATCAGCGCCAACACCGTGAAATTCTACAAGCACCGGAATGACAGTAAATAACAACGACATTATCGGGGCAGCAAATAATAGCCAAATAATACGATTATCATGATTCTTGTCCAAAAGGTGCAATTTTCCTGACGAAGCTGCGCCAAGGAAAATTGATTGTTCGCCTTTTCCCGAGAAGCGACGCCCATGATTACTATATGGTGGAGAACCCGACATTTCTTTGTCGTGTTGTTGGTTTGTATTTATTGAATGATTGTTGTTGTTATTATTATTATTGTTTATTATTCGATCAACAAAAAGAAGTAGTTATGCTTTACAAATAATTATGATAGATGCGTATTTAATAAATGGTATTAGATCATCTTAGGGTGTGCCAGGACTTTTATATTGACCAACAAACGCACGCGCGAAATTTTTCTCTCGCTGGTCTTTTATAGTTTTTATTAATAATGGCTTATCTCTTTTTTTTAAAATCAAGAGAATAACCAGAATAACGTAACAAAAAAATTTTAGTGATTTAATCCGGCTATTGATTGTAGTCTATATAGTACTCCAACGCTAAATATAGAGGCTGGGTACGTGTTACTTTTACATGAGAGATTGATTGATTGAATTCTCTTTAACACAGCCAAAATCACACTAACATAATGAAAAAAAGTAACGATAAAAACTAACACACACACTAGCGCTTACTATAGTAAAATATAACAAATAGTTGCGATCATCAATGGGAATAATGAACACAAAAAGAGTATACACGTATTTTTGTGAGGCTTATTTATAACAATACAATATAATAAATGTATAAACAGTATATTGTCTATATTTAGATATCGAATTCCTCATACGAAAGTGATTGTATCACCTGTGATACTCATCACTTTTTTTTCCTTCCGTGACGCGATTCTTTTTAATATTTTTTTCGTACACAGTATGATAAATCATGATAATGACTGGTTCTTATCATGATTTTTTGGGATTTTTGTTTGTGCAAGATTTCTCACAGTATGAATATCGAAATCGAGTATCAAATTTACTATTTTTATGATTTTTTTGAACATGAAATAATACGTTCTATACTAACTAACAAACACTATTGTCTCATTGTGATCACGTCCCCAATAATAAATACATGTAAATATATCGATCGATATGCGAAATCAATCAAAACTTAAAAAGATTTAAACAAAATTAATAAAAGATAAATAGCAGAAATTGAAAGAAGTCTATTATCAAATTCGCTAACGTTAAAGAACATGATATCAAAGTCAACAGGTTTATTTCCAATAACCTAATTTTTTTGACGAGCACTAATAGAAGAATTACGTATCTTTAGTTAAAAAAATTTTACAATGTTCCGCGAATAAGGAGGGAGAAGCGATTGATTCTGTTTTACTACGCAATTGCATGTATCTCAACCCCGCTACGTATATGTTCCTTCATAACGAAAGTATAAATAGCAAAACTCACCACATAGATAATAAAAGTTTCATCATTCATGCAACAGAAACGGCAGTTATAAAGAAACAATAAGTTTTACGATTTTAAAAAGATACTTGATACCCAAGAAAAAACCAATTAAAAAAAGAGAACTATGTATAATTTAACTCAATTCAACTACGTATGTGAATTTACAAATGTAAAATCGTGTCATAAATTATAGGAAATCTAATCGATACAGTTGCACGGAAAAAGGCTAGTGTGAAAATGTATGCCCTCCATTACAGCCATTGAAAACCGCAGAATTTGTGCTACAGAGTTGGTATTAACGTTAAATCAATGTCAAATGAGTCAATAAAAAATGTTCAGCTTAAAGTGAAAGTTGGTATTGTGACAAAGTCACATTATCTCGAAAAGTAAAAATGTCTCAACATAATTATGATCGGTAACGTCCAAAATCCTGAAGAACCAATCCCGAACTTTCATAAGCTCGCATCCCGAATGATCGAGATCCCGAATGAATGCCATCCTGAATAATCGTAATCCCGAAGGATCGAAATCCCGAATCCACGAAATTCCGAAATCGTAATAATTTTGTTATTCCATGCATTTGGAATGCTATGCTTTCGGAATTTCGTGCATTCAGTATTTCGATAATTCGGGATGCCATTCATTTAGGATTTCGTTCATTCGGGATTACAATCATTCAGGATGACATTTCGGATTCCGTCTTTCGAGATTTCGAACTTTCGGGATGCCATTCGGGCTTATGAACGTTCAGGATTGTGTTCTTCGGGATTTCGTACCAGACTCATGCATGATACCTTCCATATTATCCATCTTCGTTACAAGACTCATCTTCGCGCCATAATACCTTATTTATTATTTTATAAGTATTGTGAAAAGCAAATTGAAATAATATTACTAACTAGAAATTTATTCTTATAATTTTATAATATCAAATCTCATTCAAATCTACATTGACATGCCAATACTCGGAGAAAAATTTATTTGTATAATTTTTTAAAAAATTTGCTCTTTTTATTTAAAAACTAGCCGCCATTACTTTTTATATGTTAATGGTGAGGTTACAAGCAATTTCTTGGTAAAAAAAACAACTTATCATTAACAACCTGCGAAAACTAGATTTACAGTATAAAAATTTAGTAATATCGATATGGAAATTGGTCGTGCAAATGCCAATCAAAAGCTTAAAAAGGCAATTTTATTGACATCATATGTAATAAACAATCATAAACAAAAAAAACCCCCCCCCCCCATTTTTTTCTCTTCTTGCCATTGATCGAGAAAAAGATTATTAGCAGCTGTTCTATTTTCTGGAAAAATTTTCAATATCAAATTTGTAAGTTCGTTAATGCTATCCTGTGTACAATTGGAATCGGGAAATGATTATATCAATCGCTCCGATTCTAAACTTTTGTTCACCGAATATACTGTTACCGTCGCAACGAGAATCCCGTGATTACGAAGATTCTGAAATCATACGAGATCATAGTCACATTGACCAATCAAATCCACAAATATGAAAGTTTTGTCAATAAAACTTCTTGAATATGAAATATAATAAAAACATGCACCATAACAGTAAATATATCTCAGCGGAAGCTTTTTGATTATCATTCTCTAATCCATTGAATTATTTTATTGATTTAGTTTTGAGTTGTGCGAATTACGAATGGATAAAATGAAGTTTGTTGTTCTTCACTTTCAGATACCAAAAATGATGCATTAAATCTTTGCAAAGTTTTTTTTGGCAAGACTGTGCCAGAGTGTGCACTTAGTGAAGTCTTTATAATTACTAATCCATGAAGAGAATTCTGTTCTTGAAATTCTCAGTACTCTTATTGATGTGGCCGAAATAATTTCATATAGATTTTTTCATATATTCCAAGATAAACAGATTTTTATTATTACAATCGGTTAAATATGATAAAGCTTTTTATTCCAGAAAAAAATTTAGATACTCTAATAACATACATATATATATTACTGATTCAAAATTGTGGGCGTGAATTGATACAAATTTCTCGACTGAAATCTATGCATATCATTTTAAATTTGCGCGATTACATTGGCTCATCATTTTCTTCATCTTTATCGTGGTCAAGTCCAGACCTATATGGCCTCTTCCATTCGGTAATCTCACTGGTATTAATGCTGTTATGTGTGATCTTTTTACCATATTTATCATATGGAAAGAACGCTATTATCCACCCAGTCCAATAAGTTTCTCCACCCGATCTAAAGTACTCTGTCGAAACACTTTGCTCCAAAATTCTTCGTCGATTTCTCCGCGAGAAGTGTCGACTAATTTCCAAATAACCGGCTTAAGACGATCAAGCCAAAAATCCATATCTGGACCAATATTACAACTTTTTCTTGGATATGAGTCCAGTCTTTTAGAGACCCTTCCAAAGTCCACTTTTGAAATGCCACATTGTAGCTTGACCATGTAGCTAAAATATTTCTTTACAGCGTCTAAAGATGACAGGATTTGCTGTTTTTGCTGCCATTATGCTGGTCGAGAAATCACATTCCAGAATTTTTGAGATATCCACTTTTTGATTTCCTCCGAAGTTTAGTTTTCAAGACGATGAAAAAGTTTCAGGCCAATCACCTTCAAGAATGTTATTAATGTATTCTAAAACTTCACCAATAAAAATTGTAATTACTTTGTTTTCCTTCATATTCAACAAAATAACTACGAAATCTTTCAGCGTTGAATTGATATGATGACTAACACCCTGAGCGATAGTTAACCATACATCATCTGGTTTCGACGAAGATGTTGATGATGCTTGATGAATGGCAGCGACAAATCCATGAGTATATCCGCCCACGATTTTGGTTTTGGGATTATTGCCGGTTTCTGGATAATCTACAGAAATAGCGTGAGTGACTTAACATTTGCGAAATATTCTTTGGCGTTTTCATGTTTGAATAGCTTGGCGACATTTGGGGCCAACTACTTGAGTACTTGGCAGTAACGTTGCTGAAATTGGTGAATCATTTCGAAGTAGAGCTTCTCTTTATTATAGATGTGAAGTTAGTCGTACTTCAATAGACGTCGTAGAGGTTAACTTATGACTAAATCACATCATTAATGGGATTTTTAAACAATAAAATGGAAAAACTAAAAAGATTGTTTAAAGAGCATGTAGTGATTTATCATATTTCATTTTACATGATTTTCGTTATGATAATGGAATTTACATAATTTACATGTACATGTATTTATTATGTCGGCTTTGTAGTCCTTCAATTAAATGCATATACGTGTCAAGTCATAAAAAAATTAAAATTTAAATCATAATCTTGCACAAATTGTAAATCCAACACAATGGATAGGATTTACCTGCAAAAACGGCGATACAACATAAATATGGATGAAACAATGACTGATAACTTTCATTGAATTCATTTTTTCCTTTATATGAGACTACATGTATACAAACTATACATATATAAAATTTGACAAGAGCGATGATTAAAATAATATATGCACGTAAAAACAAAAATATATCGAATTCTGTTTTTTATCATCAAAACAATGAGATTAATGAATAGAAATCGGTGAAAACAATATCAAATATAGAACCCAAAATATTTGATATACACCGACCTGACAAAAGTATCCGGACAAGATCGGCAACTATCAAACTTTAAACACCGATTGTAGCACTCCCATCTCCAATTTTTTATTGCGACTAATTTCTAGTTTTAGAAAATAAAAATTTTTTTATATAAATTGGTACACCAATATAAAATTAATATTTACTTCTAATAAAAATCATTCAAATTTTAACTAATCTTTATAATTTTTCATATTAAATAAAGAATGATCTAAATTAACTTTTTATATTATTTTAATTATTCTATATACTTTAACTTAATAATAAATGAAGCATTACTTTATTAAAAAAACTAAAATAAAATTATTTTTTTTAAAAAAAAGACATTTTAAATATTATTGCTATCAATTTGCAAGATTAGAACTTTAAATTATACAAGCAGGTTGCCCTAGATTTGATAAATATATTTTCTAAATTTTATAAAAATTGAATCAATAGTTATAAAGATATTAAGATTCAAAGTTTAGTAATTAAATTATTTACTATGTAATTTTTATATTACAGATAAACCTCCCTAAGTGCATCCTTTATAAGTGCACATCCTCTCTAACTGCATGCTTTAGTCTGGTCTTAAGTTTGGATCATAGTGCTAAGTGCACATTTTTCATGTTCTGCACATGCAGTAACTTTTCTGGTTCCATTATATTAGTATTATCTTCTTAAGTGCATCCATGTGATATTTTAATTATGTGCTTAAATGATTAACCAATAGATTTATCAGTTTGATTTATTAAACTTTGCCATCTTAATAAATCTTAAATTATTAATATGATCCATTGTAAAAATTTTGATACATCAAATAAATATTAAAAAATTATTTTTTCAAAATAAAATTTTTAATTCTGTTTTATTCAAGTTATTAAATATTGAGATTTATTTAAATATAAAAATTTTATTATATATCTTTTATAAAAAAAATTTTTACTAATAACTTTTTTTAATTATTATAACTTAAATTTTACTATATAAAATTTGATTAAAATTAATATAAAAATTATATAGTAAATAATTTAATTACTAAACTTTGAATCTTAATATTTTTATAATTACTAATTCAATTTTTATAAAATTTAGAATATATATTTATTAAATCTAGAGCAATCTGCTTGTATAGTTTAAAGTTTTAATTTTATAAATTGATAGTAATAATATTTAAAATATCTTTTTTTTTAAAAAAAATAATTTTATTTAGTTTTTTTAGTAAAGTAATACTTCATTTATTATTAAATTAAAGTATAATAAAATAATTAAAATAATATAAAAAGTTAATTTAGATTATTCTTTGTTTGATATAAAAAAATTATAAAAATTGATTAAAATTTAAATAATTTTTATTAGAAGCAATTATTAATTTTTATATTAATATATTAATCTTCTTATAATAGTTCATAATTTAAGTTATTATCTTATTATCTTATTTATCAAACTTAATTCCTATACTAACTATTATAAAATTCTAATTACAAGCAATTTTTAAGTTATTTATTGCATTATGAAAAGCTATAATAAGATCCTAATTATTAATATTTATTTGTTTTATTTTCATTCTTATATAATAAATTACTTATTTCTTTAACAAATATATAATCAAAAAAAATAAAGTAACTCTGACAATTCTGATAAATATCTAAAAAAATAAAGTTTATTTTTATATCTGCAACAATAAAAAGATCTGAAGCAAATATATCTAATAGATTAAATAGAAGTAGTATTAAAGTTAATAAGTCAATAATCATATGAATTTTTTAAACTAAAGAGAAATAATTAGCAACAGAAGTTGAAAATTCAAAAGCAAAATATTATAAATCTATTACTATTTCAGAACTCAAGTTAGTTCTTAAAGAATTTATATTGATTTATTAATACTAAATAATTTTGAGTGATATTTTATAATAGAAGAATTAGAAATTTTTGTAGGTATATTAATATTTTCTCATAGATAGCTTCAAAAATTCAAGAAAAATAATGCAATTTGTCAAGAAAAACTTAATAGAAAAGAAATATCTGTTAATTAAAATATTATTACTAAGTATTTACTATTATTATAAGATAAATATTTAAGATATTCTTCTAATTAAATTTACAATATAAATAAAACTGGTCTTTTCTATTAGAAGAATATTATTTATCACATGATATCATCCAATTAATAGATCTACCTATCCATGTATAATATAATAATGTAAAATAACATAGTATAATAATTAATATAATATAAATTTGCATGAATTAATGTAATATGAATCTGTATTAGTTGATATTGATATACTATAATATGGAATTAAACTATATTAAGAATTAACTATACTGTATAATATTTAATTTTTAAAAAAAACTTTAGTTAATATTATATGTAATAGTTTTTTTAATCAATTTTCTTTTTTAAAATTATGTAATTAGATATGTAATAAAAAGCATATAATATATTATGATTTTGTATTACATGATAATTAATATATACTATATATATACTATGTATATATGGTAAAAAACACGTGATAAATGGTACTTCTCTTAGTTAGAACTAGAAATTAAAGATGATAGCTATAATTACTATGTTATAATACTTATATTATAACTTATTAAAAAATTTAATAAAAATCACAACTTGTTATAACTTATCATAACTTACTATAACTTGTCATAACTTATTATAACTTATTATAATTTACTATAATTTACTATAGTATATTATAACTTATTATAACTTATTATAATTTATTATAATAATTTTTTATCAAAATATAAGTAAAAAATATATTTATTATTATTTTTTTAGAAATTATACTTAAATAAAAATATTTTTTTAAATATTTATTTAAAATTTAATATTTATATATTAAAATATATTTAATAACTTTATTTAATATTATATTTCAAAT